GCCTACTAAGGGCACAAAACAACTGTATTTAAACTGGGCATGGTGGTGCATGCCTGTAATCCTAGTACTCAGGAGGCAGAAGCAGAGGGATCAGTGCAAGTTTGAGATCAGCCTGGGTTACAAAGACCAGCCTAAACTGTATAGTGAAACCTACTCTCAAAAAAAGTGTGTTTAAAATCATGTGTAGACTGTATTGCAATACTTTACTGCTGAAAAATGCTAAGAATTATTAGAGTCTTTAGAGAGTCCTAATCTTTTCACTGGTGGAATGTCTTGCCAGGGCATGGATGGTGCCCTGCTGACTGGTTGTGGCCAAAGGCTGGGTTGGTTGTAGCAATTTTATGAAAGAGACTTCTATGAAATTTGCAGCATAGACTGACTCTTCCTCTCATGAATTATTTCTGTATAGCATGCAGTGACATTTAATAGCATTTTACCCATGACAGAATTTCTTTCAACATTAAGCTCAGTTCTCTCAAACCGTGCTGTTGCTTTTTCAACCAAGTTTATGTAATATCACAAACTCATTGTTATCATTTCCACAGTATTCATAGTGTCTTATCCAGGAGGAGACTCCATGTCAAGAAACCATGACATACTGAGGCAAAAGAACTTTGTCATCTCCATATAACCTCATGGGGTCACCATCACGTGTGAGGTCTGTAGTTGAAAGAAATGTCACTATGAGGCATGTCACTGTGTATGTGGACTACAGATAACTGTGAAGTGTCTGGATTGTTAATGAGGGATCTTGAAAACGATGAAATATTTGGAAGAAAGAGAGTTTGAGAGAGAGACATGCAGGATATACTCTGCGATAGGACATAGCGTATAAAGATATGGTATTGATGTTCACTAGGGAATTTGGTGAGAAGCACTGAATGACCAAGTTAGCAGAATGGTTTGGCCAGTTGACACTGACCAGCTTCTCATATCAGCTACCACAGTGCTGGGAAAACAGGACATGGACAAAGTAGTCATGGATGTAGGGGTGTGTATCATGGCAAGGGCTGCTGCTCACCGAGATTGACGTAGTCTCCCCTATGGTTTGATAGTCAAAAAGATCAGCACAGAGTACCTGCTGTGGCCTTGTCTCTCATCGAGACTGAACAGCTATTTCATGGAAAGTATGTATTTGATTACTTTGTACCACTTTCACTCTAAAATGGCAATGTCTCATCTTAACTGGAATAGACATAGTTTCCAGGCCTGAGTTTGCCATTTCTGTATCCAGTACTGTAGTGAAAGCCACTATCTGAGAGCTTTTGGCACATTTGTTCATTAACACAACTTCCTACATAACATCACTACAGACTCATAAACATACTACCAAAAATTAGATGCATCACCAAATATATGCCTATGGGGTCCACTGATTCTGTCGTGCATTTTCTAGAAGCTTCTAGCATGATGAAGTAATGAATGAGCTGCTGGAAGCACTACTTTGGAAAGAATATCCTTTAGGGATGAAAAACCACTCTGTAGGATTCAAGGTATACACCCTAAATTAAATAATAGATGATGCTGTATCCTCAATAGCTAAAATCCTTGAACCTGTGTATCAAAAACAGAAATAAGATTATCCCCACTTACTATCAGTTCTAGTAACACACCTGGGGAAATACATGTTTCCTTTCTCTGCAAAGCAAGACTGTGTGAATTTAGAAGCCCTGGTTTCGAGTAAGAATGTTTCTACTTAGGCTTCCAGAGAGTCTTGTTCAACCGCAAGCTGTGGTTGCACTCTGTCTCTTGAGATTTGCTGGCCAAGAAACCCACAGTCAAAGAAAAGTCACCACCTGGGCAGGAGTGCTGGACCTGATCATCAAGTGGAAGTGGTGCTTCTTTTATTCAGTGGGTATATTTGGCACCTAGGTGACCTATTCGCCTGTCTCTTGTTATTCCTTCTCCCACTTTTGGCGGGATATGTATAAGAACAGCAGCCACAGCATGATCTGCAGAAAAGCATGGTGACCAGTGGCTCAACTGTCAGAGGGGTCTAATTCAGTCCTGAAGACAGACAGCCTAGATCACCTGTTCTGTTGGCTTAGAATGAAAACCATCATTTATGACCTCAAGACTAGCTGCAGCAGTTGTAACGGGCTCGATTTCACCCTACTCTCCTTCCTCTCGCACATTTTCTGAGCAAAATAGGCTTAACAGGATTTTTTTCTGGAACTTATTGTGTAAACAAAGTGATTAAGGCAATGCAAGAGGAGGGTGTTGTAGAATTAGTGGCATGCTTCCCAGATTTTCCCCTTCCAGGGCTAATAACTCTCCCCAGCTGCAGTAAGTGTTGACTGCCAACACTTACAAGCTGAGTTTACTTCATGGAATGTATACTCCCTTGTTTAAAAGGATCTGCTTCCCTCAGAGCCATGTCATGCACCAAGAACAGCCTGCAGCCGTGAATGGTTACTATAAGAGTATATTTGCCGATCTCCTAACACCCATATGTGTTATCCCAGTTCTAGAGCAAACTGTGGGCTTGGCTGAGACCTGGGCTGTCACGATATCACACTATAAATTCTCTCTGTCCCACCTTCCATACTCTCCAGGACACTCTGCATGAAGATTTGCATTTAAGAATGTGCATCCAGCAGAGACCAGCTGGTGACATCCTTGGCTCCCGGCTGGAGTCTGTGTACTGCCAGAAGGCTTAGATAATTCCAAAGCTTTGTACCTACAATTTATCTTTGTGGAACAGATAAATGCTGTTCTCAGCTATGAGTGAATCAGGTCCAGGATTCCTTGAAAGACTAGAGATAAAGTGTGGCACAGAGGGTATAAGCAAATCCTATCCAATCCTTCATAAATGGAGGACAGCTTTCCCCTTCTCCCTCCTCCTTTATGTCCACTTCAAGATTGTGTAGTTACCAGAGGGTCTGTTGATCCTAGCAAGCTATTCTGTGGCCATTCTGCTGCTGATGCATGCCTCTGTGATGTGAAAGTACACTCATCTCGAGTTGGTGTTTAGGGCCAAAGTCTACCAGGCTATAGAAGAGGCAGAGATTTACACTGTACTTGGAGTGAGGGCCAATGATACTATGATGTGTACCACCATGTGGTAGCCCCTAAAAGCTTTCTGGGGTTCTTGATTCTATTTGAGGCTGTCAGAAGAGGCTTGCAGAAAGGCTCAGTCTGAGATAGAGTTGGTTTGGCAGTTACCTCAGCCCCTGTCTACCTTTGAATGAAAGTGTAGACCACTCTGATAGCTTTCTTTGCTTCCAAGGATGGAGATGGTGATGTTTTCCAAGGGATAACACTTTCAGAATGTAAGTTCTTAGAGAGTCATTGGTCAGTCTTTTAGTTTTCTCCCTAAAAGATATTACCATCTTCTTCTCAGTATTGAGATAACCAAGGTTCAAAATAACACAGGAAATGAGATTGGCTCTAGAAGTAAAGTCAAGGTTACTTCCCTCACAGATCAGTATCTTTTCTGGTATCACATGCTGCATTTTTATGGCCACGTGCCAAGGCCACATGGTTCCAGGAGAGTTTGATGTGAATGGTTGTTGGGAGCAGGAACCAGGGGTCTGGCAGTGAACGGGTGTGGAAAACCACACACTGAAGCTGGACCTCAACCAGTTCCTCATTCTGCAGTAACCTCAGCCTTCTAGACAAAGCATCGCACTGATATTAACCTGGGAATAGCTTCATAACATAAACAAAGAAGTTTCTCAAGGGCCCAAGAATATGTTTACCTTTACTGTATGTACAAGAAAGTGTCCTGAAGTGACTTGTACTGCTCTTTGTTTGAAACATTATAAAAACTCTGGAGTCCTTCAATAAATCCCCTTTTGCCTCCTGAGCAACTGGTCTCCCTGTGTCTTCAGTCTCTCGCCTGACTCCTTCCCCGTGTTGGCCGTGGCAAATGGTGCCTCATGAAACTACACAATACAGTGACCCTACACAATACATGGACATAGCATAGCATAGCAGTTTATCTGCCTCCCTAGGACTGGAAGCCTCAGGCCATACATGATAACTGCAGAAGGATAACCATGACCCTTTTCTACTTCTAGGGGCATGCTTTGTCTCTGTGTCCAGGGAAGTGAATGACAGAAAGACTGTTGATTAGGTATGCCAATGGGAAATCCTAATTGGAGTTGTTAGTACAGAAAAGGAAGTCCTTTCTACTTGATTGGAGGCTCTCAAGTTTATAAACTTAAGGTTTAAGGAAGAAGTGTTAGAGGGTAGTTTTCTGAGCCTAAAAAAGTTACTCTTTAATAGCAGAGTTTGAAAGTCTCCATGTTACAGTTTCCATTTCTCCATCTAGATCATTCAGCACTTCAGCCTGGGTTGACTCATTCCTCTTGCTATTACTTTTTTGCCTCCCATCTAGCATTCCTCAAATTCTATCTGCCACTACTTTTGCTACCTGTTGAAATAGTTCATCAAGGATATACCTCAGCTGCCTGACAAAAGTGAGGTCCTGAGTTTGATTCCCAGTTCAAAAAAATCCAACCTTTAAGTGACAGGGGGTAATAATTACCTATACCCATTCCCAATAAAGTCCATAAACCCTACTCATTCTGAAGTTCATATCATGGCCCTTCTATTCCACTGAATCAAAACTTTCAATGCCTGCTTTATTAGGGTGACTAAATGCTCCATTTTTTCCTGGAGCACTGTTATATATTTATATATATTTATAGCTAGACAGAGCAATAAAGGTGAGTAGGGGAGAATACCACCAGCTGTTGCGATAGGTGACCTGAGAGTTTTAGGAAAGCATGCAGCAGGTGAGGGAGGGAATGGTGGGGAGGCTCCCACAGAGCATGTGGCTGAAAACTTGCAATCTGGGAAACCACAGATGTGAGTGGGACCTAAGGGCTGGAGTACATTTTTTGGTCTTGTTCATTTTACGTTGAATCTCAATGAAGATCAGCTATGGAAAAGAGTCATCTGCTAAGGACTCAGCTTCTCCTGTACCAGACCACTCACCCATCTTTACCTCTCTCCCAGTCCAACATGAATTCCACACAAAACTTACAACTGAGAGCAGTAATAAAGTATGTATATATTTCATGTATTCTGAAAACACATTTACTTCCACTCATCACTGTGAATCACAACCTGGCTTCACAAGAACAATGTCCTCTGAAAATTAAAAGGCAATTTCACATCAATGGTCTTTGTTGGATCCTTACAAGAGTCCAGGGAGGTAGGAGAAAGAGTCTCCAGCAAGCCTGGAGTCACATTTCCTACACATGGCAGGGTACCGGATGGGAGTTCACAGAGAGCAAGGCAACCTTTAAAAATGAGTGATATACATAAAAGATATGTTTAAAGACTGATAACTTAAATGCAATTTGCTTTTTAAAATTATTAAATAAAAGTCATCCCTTTGGGGAATAATAATATTATTTCAGAATGCATTTTAGGAAGGAAAAATAAATCAAGCAATTTTCTGGTTTGTCATCTCAAGCACGATGATTACGGCTTTGTAGTTTGGGATATTTGGTCCAGGTACTTCTTGGCATCCTGAACCCACTTCTTCTTGGGGTCCGCACATATCATTTTGTCAGGTTTGATCTCAAAGCTGTGCAACAAAAGAAATCAATTAGAAAGACTCTTTTTAACAGTCCTGCCTATTCAACTCTGACTACTCTCAGATCATTTACCACGAGGTGATGAGGTTGTTGTGGGAGACAAAAGGGGGCAGAGGAAGGATGGGACATTAGGATTGGCTGTTACTTTTGATGGTCTTGTAAAGCCATTATTTTTTCTTCATTCAAAAAAAAACTGTATGAACAATTTCTGCTGTGCAAACCCATGCAAAGAATTATAGAGGTCAAACTGTCTGAGCATATAACTATAAGTGACTCTGAATCCATTCTAAAGATGAGTTTTTGGTCACCAGAGAGGATCAGCTTTGTTTACTCACACAATGGCTGTCTGGGGACATTTGCTGCTGGTGATTATTTTGTAGCTCTTCAGTCGCTGAAAGGAGATCTTCTTATTGGTCACACGAAAGCAGCAGGCACTTGGGATACCTGAATTTAGGAGGAAAAATGATTAGAAAGAGCCACTCATGATATATAGTTGTTCTCAAGCATAACTTTATATAGCAAGAAGGAAGTTAGGAGAAGATGGGGCCATGGAGGAGGCAGAAAGGAAACTTATCCATCATGAAGCCCTGTGTCTCTGCCTTTACCATGGTATCTACCTCTACAGTGGAAATCCATTGCTTCTAATAAGGGTACAGAAAAATTATTGGTCAATGTTATTCATTCCCACTCTGTCATTACGATGGGCTACATGGCTCTGTGATGGTCATGGTACTGTTCACCAAATATTATCACTTCTCTGCTTCTGGATACAAGGTAGACTGACACATTTTGATCACTTTTGATTGGTTTGAGTCCTTTACTAGTTTTGACCAATAAGGGAGAAAATGAGGTTGCAAGTGTCATTTCTGACCCAGAATGTAGTGAGTCTATGACCCTGAGTATCTAAGTGCAGAAGTTTGAGCCCATGCATTACAGACATTGAGTGCACGCAAGAAAGTGACCCTTAATTAATTTAATTGTGATAGGCAGTTGATAATTAGGATCACTGCTGTGACATGCTTTAGCTTAAAGGGACTGTTACACTCAGCAAATATTAAGTCATCAGAGGATGGGAAAATGAGTTTACTTCACCCTCAAATATGTTCCACAATAAATGAGTTCCCTGGAGACAATGCCCTGGGACCGATTTTCCTAATTGCTGCATTGAAAGATAACTTGGAATTTAGCAAAATTTTGGGAGGATCACTAATCAAAAGATTTCCCCCCTTCACCACTGTCAAAACTGTCTACCACATCATGTCCAACTGCAAAGGTTGCTGGTTCTGGTTGCATTTAGCAACTTTCTTAGTCCTCCTGTCAGAGAGAGAGAGAGAGAGAGAGAGAGAGAGAGAGAGAGAGAGAGAGAGAGAGAGAGAGAGAGAGAGGAGAGCCTTGAGAGAAAAGGGACCAGCCTTGATGCTCAGACTCCAGCTTTGGCTCTTCTACATCCTGGATTTGAAGATTGGTATTCTTATCTGGTCAGAGACCAGTTTTCCAATCTTTTAAATGCAAGATTTGCTCTGAATATGCATGCTGATGGGATGGTTCTGGAGATGAGTAGTTTTCCTTGGAGGGGCTTACCTGGATGGGCGAGCACCTGGGCGCTGAAAGCAGAGACTGTGAGCAGCAGGCACAGAAACGCTGTGGAGACTTTCATGGTGCAGTGTGCAGATGGGTTGCAGCGTGACAATAGTTTCTGGGTTGTTCTCAGAGTCTCTGCTATTCTCAGTGTTCTGTCTGCTTTTATAGGGAGCAGAGTGGGTGGGAAGTTCCAAGGAAGTCTTGGTCTAAGCTAGGTCAATATCAACTCATTATGAAGAGGAAATCTTGAACTCTGGCCAGATTCTAACTCTTGGAAGGAAAGAGAGAAAAAATCATGGGTGAGACCTGGCACCCGTCTCATATATTGTGAGATGCAGAGCAGAGCAGAGAGTAACAGAATGTGACTATGAAATGCAATCAAGTTGCTGACACGAGACAAAGAAATAAAGAACCTGAGGGGACAGGGGAGAACCTTTGGTCTTTGTGAATGCTTGGTGGCTTTTAGGGTTTTGGAGGCCAGGAAGGGGGTCTAAAACTTTTGCTGGGTTCCTATTCACATGGAGAGGTTGCTCAGCAGCTCTAAACTCTGATAGGTCCCTGTGATTTAGGAAGGATAGCACAGGAGAGGTCTGGCTCTGTAACTAATCAAATGATTATGGCATTGTAGCCTCCCCAGTCTTGAATTCTTGTGCATTTTAGAACATCTGCTCAGAGACTAAAATTTCTTTGTAAGTTAAACAGAATGTGGTCCTAGACATTAAATAATACTGGAGCAGAATTGGTTGGTTTGTAGCAGAATAAGTGCCCCCTGTCCCGTTCCCTTTCATGCCAGTTAATTGAAAAGCCAGCCTTCTAGTTTACTCTTACTACTTAAGCACATATTATGGACAAGGGATCTGATGGCTTGAAAACATCAAACAGACAAGTGGCATATCCTGCTTGTGTAGAAAAAGATGCAAAACGAGGCAACACTTTTAACAAACGTTACAGCCCTGGAGGCTACCTTAGAGGTACTTCACAGCTGTTTCCTGGGTTTTAGTGCACAGGCCCACACCATAAGGTTGCATAGACAGGTATGTCAAAGAAGACACTGAGGACTTGCCTCGGGTTAGTAGAAGACTTTATTCTGGTTGGTTGGTGATGTCTGTAATGAGCACAGGATTAGAGAATACCCTTGCTGGTTTACAAAGTCCCCATATACTTATGTAGAATAACTGGCCTGAAAAAAACCTTGGTCTTCCATGGTCTTTTCTGTTCAGTTCCAGGTGAGAAAGTCTAGTGGGGAGACTGGATCTGTGATGCTTGAGTTAAGATAATGTTTCTGCCACTGGCAAATCTGATACTACTGACAACATCCTTAACTACAATGGAGGTGACAATCGTACTCACCTCGGGGGACTGCTATGTGAGTTAAATTCGTTTATATACAGATATCTTGGAAGACTGACTGAGTCTCTTGGTGCTAGGCAATTAAGTGTTAATAGATTTTATTAAGAGTGGGACAAAGTTTGTGGGTCAGGGAATGTTAGAAAGAGGCTGAGAGTCTGTGAAGATGCTTTTTAAAATCCATTTTTCCAAATTTTCTACTACTTCCAAGTAAAGACAGATCTTGGCTTCCAGTTATGCTTCATAATTGGATGTGCTTGTGAGGGTTGGAACCTCTTAGCAATTACGTTAATACAAGAAGTTAGAATTGTTCCTGACCTCATAGGTACTTGGCTAATGCCGTTAAGAGATCATGTGTCTTAGCAACAATACTTCCATTGCTTAACTGAGAGTTCACAAGGTTTTATGAGGAAGTGACTTTACTTTTGTTTTTTCTCCCTGAGCTTTGGATTCTTATGTGTTCTTTAGAAACTTCAGGGAGGTTAAGTAAAATAAATCTTGAGATATTACTCAACAGATGTTCTACACAGCTCCTTGGCTGTCTCTAACAAGTAGGGGCAGGGACATTGACTTTTTTCTTCTGTCTTCCTTGGAGACTTCTTATCCATCAATGACCAAAAATGGATCCACCACTTGCTTGTGACTTGCTCCCTGATGAATGGAAGAGCCTTGTTCAGAAAAAACTCTGACAGATGAAGAGGCAGTGCGTTCACCACTGATAAAACAAACATTGGTTTCAGTGTTTTCAAAGAATGGTGAATGATTTGCAGGGGAAGGATCCCAGCCAATCAGGGCTTCCTGCTTTACTTTGCTTGCACCAGATTTTCTTTACTCTGGCAAAGTCATTGACAGGTTTGGAAGAGACATAAACATTTATTTTATTCCAACTTTCTTTGTTAAAAAAGAATAGAAGGTGGTGGCTTAATATAACTACAAACTCATGTTTGCTGCTTGGCACTAGGAAAATTTAGTGACTTGAGGACAATTTGTTGGGGCAAGAAAAAATACTGATTGACAACTACTACCAACAAAAGCCATCATGCTTAGCGTTTGCAGTCACAAGAATTATAGGGACACTGTACGGGAGGTGCGTCAGTTGTCAGGCATTCAGGGTAGTTCCAAATTCCAGGGTAATTACACAATTTGTGTGATCTTTGCTGATTCACAGTCTGCTGTTACCTCTAGATTCCTGGGTCTTCTAATTTCTATCTCATAACTCAAGGCCCTTCCTGGGGAATGCTTAATTATGTAAAAGGCTAGTTTTCCCCAGAAGACTGGGGCACGATAACACTCACTGGAGAACAATTTTCATCCTTTTTGGTGGATTTAGTCAGAGATGTCTACGCAGAGCTAGGGAGACTAATAATGTATTGCCCAGCTGCATGACTTCCCAGTTTAGAAATTTTTAAAAGTGAGCTGAGAGCAAGTGAAGATATAGTTTATTTAAGTTTTCCTCAGTAATAGCTTGAGGATCAAAAGCAGAATTCTGAAAGGGTCCTGTGATTTGGTCACAGCTAATCCTGGAACCTCTCTCTTATTCCTTGTATTATAAAACCTTTCCTGCATGGGTAGGTTTTGTCTCTGTTTTCTCTTTTGCAAAGCAAGACCAAGTAAGTTCCAGCTCCTCTCCATCACAAAGGTTATCTGCAGTCTCTTGTCACTGTTGGAGGAAAATTGCTCCAAATTGGTATTAACATCCTCACAATGTGGTTAGCGAATATCAGGCTGTTGGTTTGCAGTCTATGCAAGGCACTGTGATTGTTTTATTTTATGGGTTGGCTCAGTTAATCTTTCCAACCAACCCAGGAAATAGGTACTATAATTAGCTGCATTTTATTTTATTTTTACATTTTTTATTAATGTGTGTTTAGCCACACAGATTAGTGAGCTTCACCTTAGCAGTTTGTACATGTGTATAACATACTTTGATTATGCCCCTCTGTTATTTCCCTCCTCTTCTGCCCCTACCTCTTTCTTTTTCCTCTGATAGTGTCCTTTAATTAAGTACATTTTGATTTCATTTTTGAGACAGGGTCTTGCTATGCAGGACAGACTGGTAATTTTTAATTGCTCAGGCTGGCCTGATGATCCTCCTGCCTCACCCTCCTGAGAACAGGACTACAGCCATGTGCTAGCACATCTGGCTTATGTAAACCCATTTTAAAAACTAGAAAATGTATACAGAGAAATTAAATCTCTTCTTCTCTGAAACCTTTATGAAAGAGAGGTTGGCTTCCCAGGCTTGCCTTGAAGAAAATCTAAGTATGTTTTAAAAACTGATAACTGTTAGACTATCTCAGAGTTGTTTTGGAGTAATTGGCCCATCTGTTTTGTACAAAGGTAGAAAGCCAAGGCACACAATCCTGAAGCTATTTCCACGGTTTCATTGATAATATTGTATAGTTCCCTTGATACCATTAGGAGGTTTCTCATCTCTTTGCACTCAATCTGCTCTGTATGCCTCTGTCCAACTGTCTTGATATACTTCTCACGTTATTTTTCTGCCTTTACTCCAACCCCTCTCCTTAGTGAGAGAACTTTAAGTGGCAAGGTTATGCAGTTCCTTGGTTTTGATTTTTTGCCCTATGTCACTTGATCTAACTAAGTTTTCCTAGATATTTATTACTGAACTTTTAAATTCTGAAATATATTCTCTTAATCTGAATTCTTAATCTGAAATGTATTCTCTTAATCTTAGAAACAGATTGCTTTTCCAACAGTTTACATTTTAAAATTTGTGAATTTTATTCTCTCCCTTTCTATTTAGAGGACAGCAGATTCTTTCCTGAGCTATTTTTCTCTCTTCTTCTTCCTTCCCCTTCCTCCTCCTCCTCCTCTTCCTCCTCCTCCTCCTCCTCCTCCTCCTCCTCCTCCTCCTCCTCTCTTCTTCTTCTTCTTCTTCTTCTTCTTCTTCTTCTTCTTCTTCTTCATCTTCTTCTTTTCTTTTTTATATAAAAATCAAACACAGGACCTCATGATTGCCAGAGAAGCACTGTGCCCCTGAGCCATATTCTCAGCTGTTATTTTTCTTGCATTAACATCTGAGAAAATGTGAAAAAAAATCATTGTACTTGTAATATGCATTTTTCAAATTTTCTCTTTGGTGCTAAAGTTTCAGCAGACAGGACCTGACAATTCTGATATTTGTAACATGAATCTACATTTTTTTCAGTCTGAGAGGTCAGCTTTCCTTTCTGCCTACTGCCAAATGTCTAGAAATCCATGTTTCAGGCTATTAATGGTAGTTTCAGGTCAATGTACCAATTCCTCTATTTTCTCAGGGTTGATCTGAGCTCCTCGTCAGTGACTTAATACCAAATATATTCATTACACATGCTCATTTCTCTCTCCTGTCACAGTTTAAAGTAGTCCCAGTGGATCTCCTCTAGCCCCATTAATTTGGGGTGGGAGCTGCTTTCACCTTAAAGTTGAGCTTTGTGGAATACATTGCCTTCCAGGCCACTTTAATGAAGAGGCTGGAAATATATTGTGGCATGGACTAGGCCTGGAAATGCGTTAGCATCATTTGCCTCCCAAGCAATTGGCTAGAACTCAGTCACATACAGACTTCAAGTAAATACAGTCTATGTTGAAGAATGCAGAAGGCACCATGGATGTGTGGTGGGCACTCCCAGTCTGTTTCTTTAGGAGTAAAAAGCAAAATTAGCAGGTAGAAAATTTTGAGGAAAAAATGTTCGTGCACTTGGCATCCTTCCTCACAGGCACCGGCAAGCAGGGCCAGAGTGGCAAGAGATGGCCACTCTGAGGATGTAGTGTGG